TGAAACTGCCGAAAATGGAAAGTGTTGCACTTATTAAAGAACGGAGGAAGTACTATATAAGTATATATACTATACACATTCATATTCACTTGATATTTAGTTATTATCCATACTATTGTTATTTACTTATATTTACATATTACATTTAGTTAATATATACTTATATATATATATATATATATATATTAAAGTATTAAGTATAAGTGTATTACTCATCTTATAGTAATATACTTATATATTATATACTATAAACATTATATATACTATATATACTTATACACATTCATATTTATTTGATATTTAGTTTTTATACATACTATTGTTATTTACTTATATTTACATATTACATTTAGTTAATATATACTTATATATATATATATATATTAAAGTATTAAGTATAAGTGTATTACTCATCTTATAGTAATATACTTATATATTATATACTATAAACATTATATTATATATTACTTATAATAGTAGTTAATTGTTAGACTTCTAATTTATCTATTAAATTAGTTAATTGTTACATTTCTCTACATTTCTCTTTAAAGAAAAACATAGTTAAAGTAGTATATTTTTACATTTGTCATATTTCAATTAGTTAAAGTACTTAATTGTTTCATTTGTCATATTAAAATTAGTTATTTCATACATTGCTCATTAAAGTAAAAAAAAAAACTAGTTAAGTTTTACATTTGTCATAATAATATTAGTTAAACTACTTAATTGGTACATTTTTCATATTAATATTAGTTACTTGCTACATTTCTCATTAAAGTAAAAAAAGTAGTACATTTTTTCATTTGTCATATTAATATTAGTTAAAGTATACATTTCTCATTAAGGTAAAAATAACTAGTAAATTTTTACATTTGTCATTTTAAAAACTACCTAAAGTAGTTAATTGTTAAAATTGTCATATTAATATTAGTTAAACTACCTAATTGTTACATTTCTCATATTAATATTAGTTGATTTGTACATTGCTCATTAAAGTAAAAAAAAAAAACTAGTTAATTTTAACATTTCTCATATTTATATTAGTCAAACTAGTTAATATTTAGTTAATTGATACATTTCTCATTAAAGTATTAATTAGAAGTAGTTCGATTTGTATACTCATATTTTAGTTCGAATTCGCAATAGTTTTCTTAGTCACATTTTATTATTACTATTGTACTCATATAAAATATTTGATATCATTTAATATTTGTTCAATTTTAAAGATGGAACGTGGTAGACATTCTGTAGATGTGGGTAATCTCCAACGCAACCGCAAGAGGGAGATTGCGTCGACTCGTCCTAATTCACGCAAAGGCAAAGGTAAAGCGCGGGCCGAGTCTTCTTTTCAAAGTCGAGATGATTTTGAAACGGATTACCAACGGAGAGATGATATGATGATGTCCGACGAGCATCTACAAAACCTATTGTCCCAAAACGATCCACGCTTTGCACAAGAACAACCCATCCCGACAACCATTGATGAAGAGGAGCTCGAGGATGACGATGCGGAGGAGGACGCGGGGGGCGACGGGACTCACGGCACCCCGGATGATGAGCAAGACTTGGAGGACGAGGGCGGTTCAACCCAAACTGGTAAGAAATCTAAATCTCCTATTACTGAAAACAATTTTACAAAAAGGAAAGACAAAAATACCGAAAAATGGTACGCAAGTTGCAATCATTGCGGCAAAGAGTATAGCTTGGGAACTTCTGGCGGATACGGGAGTCTCACAAGGCATCTTAAATCCGCCCATCTTGTGGAGTATGCGAAAATAGACAAGGGCAAGGGGAAGCAAACACAAATATCGAGGTTTGCAAATTCTCAACCCTTTGGTAATTTCTCCTATGATGATCAAAAACATTTGACTGGTATGTCTCATTTAATTGTTGAAGAAAATTTACCCTATATTTTTTCCGAAAGTCTTGCTTTAAGAGATTATGCTCAAGGCACTTTAAATCCTCAATTTAGAAATTATAGTCGCAAAACGATTAAAAAAGAAGTTATAAGGCAATATAACTTCGAAAAAGAAAATTTACAAACATTTTTCGCAAACTTTAATGGACGTGTTAGTATTTGTAGCGATATATGGGAGGATACTTATCATCATTTATATTATTTGGGTCTTACTGCACATTATATTGATGATGATTGGAATATGCATAAACGTGTTCTTGCATTTCGTGAATTCAATGATCGTCATACTGCTGATAATATTTATATTCTCATTGAGCGTATTTTAATTGAGTATAATTTGCTTGATAAGGTGTTTGTTGTAGGTTTTGATAATGCTAGTAATAATACTGCTGTTATACCTAGATTGCGTGAATTGTGTGGTGCTTCTACATTGATGGGTAGGTTTTGTCATCAACGTTGTGCATGTCATATTCTAAATTTGTGTGTACAAGATGGATTAGCGGCATTAGGAAATGCTTTGGAGGTAGTGAAGGGGGGAATTAAATTGATTTGGGCTAACACTCCACTAAAAATGCAATGGCGACAATATTTGAAGGAAAGACGTGTCAATTATTGTGCTTTTCCTAAAGATTTGTCTATTCGTTGGAATAGTACTTATAACTTAATTCAAGTACTTATTAGATATAAAGAACATTTTCCTGCTTTTTTAAGACAAACTTGTAACTATATTATAAACCCGGCTGACATCGACACTTGTGAAAAAATTGTTAATGTTTTGGTATATTTTAATAACGCAACTCAAACTTTTAGTCATGTTTATAAACCTACCGCAAACGAATTTTTTGTTGAAGCTGTTAATCTCGCCGGCGCATTTTTAGAATTTTCCGATGCCGCTTACGTTAGTTATTTTTGTGATTTCATGAAACAAAAATTTTTAAAATATTATTCACATGTTCCGCATATATATGGTATTGCATTTGTTCTTGATCCTCGTTATAGACTTGCCGCGTTGCCAAGTTGTATAGATTACTATTATAATTGTTTTTTTCCAACTCAAGAGTTCGATGATAATCCTATCGACCCTAAACAAGAATACAACGAGGTTAGTAATTTATTTCATCAATTGTATAATGAATTTTATGCACAATATGGTAATGCACCCCCTCCCATGCCGCGAACATCTTCTTCATCTAAAGGAAAATCACTTTTAAAATCTGCATTTGGTTCTCTTATGAAAAAAAGTAGAGCAACTCCCGCTACTGAACAAAGCTCAGTTAACGAGCTTTCTATCTATCTAACATTGAATGTTGATTATGAAGTTGGGGATGATTTTGACGTTCTTAAGTGGTGGAAGGACAATGAAAGAACGTTCCCGGTTTTATCAAAACTGGCTAAGCAAGTGCTAGCAATGCCGATATCAACAGTTGCCGTGGAACAAGAATTTAGTGCGGCCGGCAACGTCCTAACTGATTATAGAACGAGGTTGAGCCCGAGCTCTCTTGAGACGCTAGTTTGCTTCCATGATTGGTTGAAGGCCAAACGAAGAACTCAAGAAATGACCATCGCTCCCACCCGCCACTTTATGGAGGAAACAACCACCGAAGGCGGAGATTCCGATTGATTTTTTATTTCAAAATGTATTACATATTTTAAATGCATCCTAATTCTCAATTGTACTTTCTTATTTGAAATAAATATACTTGAATTATTTTATATTATTGTGTACATCAATTCAATAATTCAATTCAATAAAATTCATTTGTAAACTTGTACTTCATAATTCATATGTAGCACTTCTCAAATTAATTAATTGGTTACAATTTTACAAACTTATAACTTACAACTTGAAATTATTTTTGTAAAATCTAAAGGCTGTTTTTAAATTAAAATATGTAATATTAATATGTAAATTAATTAATTTGTTACAAACTTACAAGATACAACTTATACACCTATTTTGTAACATTTGTAAATTATAAATCAAATCACTTTTCTAAGTAAAAATAGTTTTACTTAATTAAAAAATTAAAAACATTTTCCTTACACAATATGTATAATTTTCTAAATCATATCACTTTCCTTACACTTTTCTAAATCAAATCACTTTTCTCAAATGTACTTCCTATTTATTCGAAAATGTATTTCATATTGTTATTTTTTCCTCAATTCTCAAATGTACTTCCTATTTCAAATAAATGCACTTGAATTTTGTTTTTCATAACAATTATTATAATTATATAGTATAGAATATAAAAAAAAAATGAAAAGGACCGACCCGAACCGGGCCCGGCCCGTGAACCGGGCGGGCCACCCGGCCCGAACCGGACCCGGGGTTACCCGGGCCGGTTCCGGGCCTCCCAAACCGTGAACCGAGGCCCGGCCGGTTCAAGGCCCGAACCGGGCCCGGCCCGAACCGAGTCCATGCCTAGCTACACTGCTACACTTTTCATTTAGCTACTACTTTCTGTTCCAAAATAATAACAACATCCGTCTAAAGAAATCTCAATTTGAATTGGGTGTTAGTCACAAAAATATAAAATGAAAATGTATGATTATGATAATGTAAGAAAAATGTAAATGAGTGTTAGTCACAGAAATCACTCCATAAAAAGAAGTGTGATTTTCTATCGTTATCGTCAAACATCTTTTCATACAGGTAGAGTACAAAACATAACAAATACAAATATGTCATATTAGCTAACTTTGTCATAATGAATAATGTATGAAATTTGTAAAAGTTAAAATGATATATGTCACACTTGTATTTTTCATATCTAAATTATTTATTTATATCATACATACTCCATATGAAGATTGAAGATATATACAAAGTGTGTGTATTACAATCAAGTTGTTCAGTGCTTCATTCGGTTTACGGTTCTTCGATTTTAAACCAAACCATCGATTTGAGCAAATTATTTTCAAATGGTTTACAAAAGTAAATCCAAACCAAACCAAAGTACCAATTTTCAAATTGGTCCGATTCGATCCGATAAAACCAAAACATTTTGCTCAACCTTAGCCGATATCTTGAGCATAAAAGTGAACAGTGGTGGTAATTTCCACATTAATATTTTGTACAGCCAAATCGCCAGCGGCCCAAACTAACAAAAGGTAAGCATTACGGTCCACGGGCTTCAGCCGAACACAGGAGCAGGCAAGACCGCAAGAGTGCAAGACCGCATCAGCCAATCGTGCGGACGAACGCCAAGTGCCAAGTCGCCGACTCGCCGGCCGCAGACCGCTCACGCCTCTACCGCCGGCGGCCCACGCTATGCCGCATTGAGCCCCTATCCCTCAATTCGTCAGCCTTCTGGCCGGTGTGCCTTCATCACTGCTTCAGGCTTCCTTCACCGGAATCACCGTTTCAGCAGTCACCCTTCAGGTGCTCCTCCGGCTTGTCGGCCTTCTTCCTTATCTGATAAGGCCCATAAGGGCTTAAATCTTTGTCTTTTTCAGAGTACGTTTTCTTTTGTTGATTAATATGAATCATATGATTATTTGAGTAGTTTATCGATTGATTTCATTCATAGTCGTTTAATGTTTATAAATGAATAGTTGATAAATAGTTAGTCAATTTGTTGGTCGTTGAGTGTTAATAAATGTGTAGTTCAAATTGTTTATTGTTGATTGTTAATTTGTTATTATGCATTGAATGTTAGTGTTATAATTTGTTAATAATAATACTACGTATAATATGATATGCATCATCATTGCTTTACTAACTAAATTTGAAATTGGTCTTCTATTGTCTGGTAAGTCATTTCTTTTGTCTGGACCTTTTTCAATGATAGGCATTCCTAAGATAATTCTTTGAGTACTTTGTCATTTAAAAACCTGTCACATAGTGTTTTAACTTCGGAAGATAATGTCAAACAAAAGTCATTTTTAATACTCTGAAAGACTGAAACAAAGTTGCAGTTCCAAAATTAATAAAGCTAGAGTGGAACAACAATGGTTTTTGTTAATTGTCATCTAAAGTTTTATGTTAAAAATATACTCCATATAACTCGAAAGTAGTCATTTATACTGAAATAATTCAAAGTTGTATTCAAATGTGCTTGTATGCACATTTAAGAATTGTCTCAGTGTTTAATAATGCCCAGTAATATTTTATTGTTAGTATACAATAATACGAAGTACGTTTTATTGTACTAATTACATCTATAAAGGAAAAGGTATTCATTACATTTAAATTGTATAAAGAGATTAGATTTTAAAATATTGAGATTTATATCAATCCATTTGGTGCGACTTAGGGTTGGTTTGCAACTCCTTTTAAAAAAGCACTTCTCAGCTTTTGGCTTTAAAAAAATACTTATTTTCCCAAACACTACAACTTTTATTTTTCTCGGCTTCCGCGTCAAAAGTGCTTTTACTTTTTCTATTACACAAAAAGCACTTATTTCACCAAACACTACCCACTTTTACTTTTCAAAATCATTTTTTTCTCAAACACTATCAACTTTTATTTAATCACTTCTCGTCTTCTCCCCATTTCATTAAAAAAAGCACTTTTTTAAAAGTAAAAAAGTGTAAATTCAAACAGACCCTTAATAAAATGTAAATTCAAAGTTTAGTCATTTTAGGCAAACTATATACTCCGTATATATATACTGGAGTATTCATTTCTCAAACTTATCATTTCATATGCATACTTTCATAATTGGCAGAGCATACATATACTATCACGCTCATACACCCAGACACAAATCATATTTATTCAAAATTTGAAATAGCTATTTATATTTCATTTCTTATACCCTAAAAGAACTGTTCTATGTTTAACAGATACTACTATATTAGTCACACATGCACACACACATATATCTTGTTCGGTCCTTTTCAAAATGGCTGCCTATGGTCTATTTTAAATTTTAAATTATAGTTTTAACGTGTATATTGTGTGTGTGTATCCTGGCTTACATTTTTCACGTTTTCACTTTTTGTGTGTGTGTAAACAGTGACATTGTTACCTTTTCACCTTTATACTTAATGTAAGTAAAAAGTTTTTTTTTTGTCAAAAGTAAGTCATTCTTTATGTGTCAAAAAGTTGGTATTGTCAAGTAATTGATCTTTATTATATTATTAAAAGTTGGTTAATTAATATGCATGCACACCATGTATGTACACATTAGACATTCACAAATGCACTATTAAGACACACAAACACATAAAATGCTACGGAGTTTTAAATATGATTTACTTTTAACATGATTTGTTTTAAATATGACACTCACAAACACACAATGAAGACACACAAACACATTCTGCCAAATTTTAGATCTCACCCTATTGCAGCTCTTCAGAGCTACATGAATCCATGTCGTCCTTCGTATTCAAAATGAAACTCCTGCAATCAAAGTATCGAACTAAAGGGAAAAAATTGAGGCAGGTTTCGAGAATGAACTGAATTACTGTTACATCTCCTTTGATGCTCAACATAAAATATCAGCAAACAGTACATTATATTCTGCCAAAATCTCAACACGACAACACATAGCAATGTATCTGCAGACTTTGACTTTCCTATTTTTCTTTAGTTAGGTCACTTCGTAAGATTGGAAAACTCTATTCTTAAAGAAAAATAGACAAGAGCATTCAAAGATATTGGAGAATTGTTAAGTTGACACAATATACTTATAGATATGAAAGATATCTAAATTGAAGCTCACTAGAAGAACAAATGGCATCCAACCTTTAAATTCAATTAAGCTTTGAATCACTAGGGAAAATTTAGACTAAAGCAAGAAATAAGATGCCTTGAATAGGAAGTACGTAACCTTCCATTTTTATGTAAACATGCTTCAAGTATATGAATGGACAGTAGTACTATTGAGTAATTAATGCTGCTTGTTTGTTGTGCAGACTACAAAAAGGTGCAGCAGTAGGTGATACAAAAAGTCACAACAGTCAATGTTTTATTTATTTCCAGCACGTGTTATCAAGTATCGTATATAGAACTATAACTCTCAAACTGTCCTCCCACATTACAACTTGTTTCGAGACAAAACCATGATCAAGTATCCTGGAGGCTGGAGGTGGTTGACTTGAACGACTCTCGCTTCTTGTCCTCTTTATTTCATTGTCATGATCTGAAGTCTGAACTTTAAAGTATATTGTCTCTTTCTCTTTGCTACTTTGCGATCAGTTCATGTGCTTTTCATTTGCTTCAGATCTCACTCGGCTCCTACAAGGTCGCATTCCCAATTCTCATCTCCTTCAAATACACGCTCGTGTTTTTCGTATCAGCGCACACCAAGATAACCTTGTAGCCACTCGCCTTATCGGGCAGTACAAGTCCAGACTAGCTCTTCGCATTTTTAATCATTTACAAAAACCAAATATTTTCCCTTTCAACGCTATCACCCGAGTTTTATCTGAAGAAGGCTTATATGTTGATGCATTTTTGGTGTACAAGAGATTGAATTTGCAATGCCTTTACCCTAATGATTTGACAATTTCTTTTCTCCTTAAAGCGTGTACCAGCACTAGTAAATCGATTTATGTTCAGCAGCTCCATGCCCATGTTTTAAAGTTTGGATTTTTGGCCAATTCATTTGTCTTTAATGGTTTGCTAAGCGTGCACACCAAGACCCTGAAGGATTTTCATTCGGCTTGTAAACTGTTCGATGAAATGCCTGATAAGGAAGCCTCTTGCTGGACTTGTTTGATTTCTGGATATTCCAAGTCGGGTCAATCTGAGGAAGCTCTATCGACATACTTGTCCATGGTTAAGGAGAAAGTCGTCCCTGAAAATGACACTATGGTTAGTGTGATGTCTGCTTGTTCGAATCTTGATTTTGTACAGGTTGAGAATTGGGTAGGGAATTTGTTAGACGCAATTGATAGCTATGGTTTGAAGGATGACCATTGTGACTCTGTAAAAACTGTTCTTATTTATTTGTATGGTAAATGTGGAAAGGTTGATAAGAGTAAGGAGATGTTTGACCAGGTATCTGCTGATGGGAAGAAAAGTGTGGTTTCTTGGAATGTCATCATTAGTTCTCTTGTCCAGAACGGATTTCCTTGGGACGCATTGGATCTTTTTCAGGTAATGACAAGGCATCATAAATCTCATCCCAACCATGTTACAATGGTCAGTGTGCTCTCTGCATGTGCTCAAGTTGGTGATTTGGATATGGGAATTTCGGTCCATGAACATATTAAATCAAGCAATATTTGGAATAGGAATCTTGCAACTGCATTGATAGATATGTACTCTAAATGTGGCTGTGTGGAGAAGTCTATGGAAGTGTTTGACCAGCTTGTTTTAAAAGATGTTGTCACGTATAACGCCATGATCATGGGTTTGGCAACAAATGGAAATGGAAAAAGTGCGCTTACACTTTTTGCGAAAATGCTAGAGCTTAATTTGCAACCTAACTCCCAAACGCTCCTCAGTGTATTATGCGCTTGTAGTCACTCAGGACTGATAGATAAAGGCCGGCGGCTGTTTCGAGAAATTTGCCAACGGTTCTTTATTGTCCCCAGATTGGAACACTATGCTTGTTACATTGATATGCTTTCACGAACAGGTCATGTTGAAGAAGCACTTAAAGTTGTTACGTCAATGCCATTTGAGCCGAACAGTTTTGTTTGGGGGGCTCTACTAGGTGGTTGTGTGGTTCATGGCAAATTAGAACTTGCCAATCACATCTCACAGATGCTTGTCCAGGTGGATCCACATAGCTCTGCCGGATATGTGATGATGTCGAATGCATTTGCCACAGAACATCATTGGAAGAATGTTTCGATTATGAGGTCATCTATGAAGGAAAGTGGAGTGAGCAAAGAACCGGGGCATAGTTGGATTTCCATAGAGGGAAAGGTGCACAAGTTCCTTGTTGGATCGTTTGCATCAAAACTTCAAGATGAGAAAATATGCAGTGCACTTGAGGGATTAGTGAAGGAGATGAAGTTACCTAGTACTTAAAGGATCTTGTAGTTGTTTTTAAGATTTATAGTATACTACGTATAAAATATTCTGTAAAGCTTATAATGTAAGGGTGTCTGGGTGTGGTAAAAACAAGGCACAATTTGTAAAAATGTAAAATACCATGGTATTGCCATTGGGTTAATTTATAAATTTATGGGGTGGAATGTTATGTGGGTGCCAAGTTGATGTTAGTGTCATGTTATGCACCGACGGGAAGAAGCTTGTAGAGGCAAAATTTTGAAATCCAAGGATTCCTCCGCACAAACATTATTACTGTATTACTTTAAAGTTGATATCTTTTGGATTTTAGTCTGGAATGGCTGCTTGTACTTCTACATGCTTTATAACTTCGGATATATGGTGCTCGAGGGGGGGACGGGCTGCTCTTGGAGGGAGAGTTAGTCCTTCGAAAATGCTCATTGAAAGGAACAGGTCTTTGAGTTTGGGTGCTTCTCGAAGGAGTTGTTTGGATTGGTCATTGGTCAGGTGTTCTGCCAATTCCAATAGTTCACCCAATGCTCGTAGTGCGAATCAGTATCAGAGTAAAGACCCATTTCTCAACCTGCACCCAGAGATTTCAATGCTAAGAGGTGAAGGGAACAGTAAAATGGTGACCCCAAGACAGGAAAATGTGATTGAAAATGTTACCGAGAGCTTGAAAGACTTGTCCAGCGTGAGTAATTACAACGAGGCTAAGATTAAGGTTGTTGGAGTTGGAGGCGGTGGGTCAAATGCAGTGAACCGGATGATAGAAAGTGCATTGAGGGGGGTGAAGTTCTGGATGGTTAACACTGATATACAAGCCATGAGAATGTCACCTGTGTTTTCTGAGCAGCGTTTGCAAATTGGTCAGGAGCTCACTAGAGGACTTGGTGCTGGTGGGAACCCAGACATTGGAATGAATGCTGCCAAGGAAAGCAAAGAGGCTATTGAGGAAGCAGTTTATGGTGCTGATATGGTCTTTGTTACTGTAAGTCCAGTGTTCTTTACCTGAAACATTGCGTTGGACTAGCTAGCATTTTCTCTAAGGTCTTGTTTGATTCAGGTTTTATTAGTTTTACAAATTTGTCAATATCTGCTAGTTTTGGACTAAAGAATGATTATATGCTTAGTTAGTTCGTGCATTTCTATGCCGCTTTTTACCTTCACTTTATTTTCAATCATCTAAAAATTAAAGAAATATTGACCCTCCAAAAAAGTCCCAACAGTTTGACCCTACAATCTCTGTTTACTGTCTCTGAATGTCAGTGTATAAGAAACATGTGGATTCATTTCATATGATTGGGGTTGATACTTAATTGTCATCTTGATACATAGTATATATCTCTCTCTATATATATGAGACTATGACTATCCTATGCAGGCTGGAATGGGTGGTGGAACGGGGACTGGTGCAGCCCCTGTAATAGCAGGAACTGCAAAGGCAATGGGGATATTGACCGTTGGTATCGTCACAACCCCCTTTTCATTTCAAGGGAGAAGAAGAGCAGTTCAAGCCCAAGAAGGCATTGCTGCTTTAAGGGAAAATGTTGATACTCTGATTGTCATCCCAAATGACAAGTTGTTAACAGCGGTTTCCCCATCTACCCCTGTAACAGAAGCATTTAACCTGGCCGATGACATTCTACGTCAAGGTGTTCGTGGCATATCTGATATAATAACGGTATGGGTGTTTGGAGTGTTCTATCATTTGGTTTTATTGGCCACTATTATTTATTTCTATTGCCTTTTTAATTAGGGAATTAGTTACGGGGTTATAGTTATTTACGTCACTGAATTACACAATGACCATGATAATACCTAATCGTAACCTATACAGGCCAGATAGACCCCTCACCTTATGGAACACATTATCTTCTTAGTGACTGCACCTGAAAAATACAAAACCTAGTCTAATGAGCTGCCTTTAAACCCATTGAAGCACTTGTTTTGTAAACCCATTGAAGCACTTTTATTTGGACCTCCCCCACACCATCAAAAGCCCAACCCCACAACCCCTGAAGAATTTTAATGGTTATTGATTGCTAATAACCAAATCATCTACTAATGGTTATTGATTGCTAATAACCAAATCATCTACTAATGGTTATTGTAGCTTTTCTCCTCTATATTTCTTTCTTCGTTTGTCTGTGTAGTAGATCCTATCTGGTGATATATCATTTTTTATGGTTGGTTATTTATCACAAATAAAAGTGGATTTATAAAACAATACCTGACTCTCATAGAGGTAAGGCAGATCCTGAAAGTGTATTCCTCCTGACCTGTAGTATCCTTGCTTGACCTCCAAGCCAACCACCATCCTTTGAGATAACAGGGTTGGAAATTTTCATTGCATAATACCTGGCTAGACACTCATAGAGTATGTTTCGGGTTCTCTAGGTCAAACAGCTTTCATAATCACCCTTAAAATAAACAACTATGTTGGTTTGATGACATAAAATTTGGGTTTGGCACAGACTTAAAAAAATAGATATTTTTTATTTTGTCCACCGTAGGCGGAAGCCTTTGCAACACTGGGGTAATGTTGTTGTTGCTGTTGCCTTTGTAATCTTCTAATAAGAAGAACAGTAGTATGGGTCTACAAAAAGTAAAAGGTGAAATGATAGATAAAAGAAAAAGGCAAAGAAAGAAAAAGTTGGGGGAATTTCAATTAGGAAAAAAGGAAGGTGTATCTTATCTTACAGAATGGGTAAGAGAGAGCATTACATTTCCACTTAATGCTGCTCTTATGAAGTTAAATATATACTAAGGTACTGCATAAGATGTTTAGTTTGATCAGTCAGCAAACTAATCAAACCAGCTTTCCATGATTCTAATCGATGCTGTGACGATTTGATGGTAAAATATCTGCCCATGATTTGTCACTCTTCAATGGCTCGTTTTTCATGATTTGGTCACTTAGCTTTCTTCATTTGCACTCTCGTACTACTCTTCTACTACAGTTGCTTTTAACTTGCATATTTGTTTTTTCATTATTGCATCTGTCACTTAGGTTAGTATAACTTTGATTGCCACTGGATTCAAACAGCAGGAAGGTGATGATAAGCCCACCCAGGTTAGTGCTTCCCTACTCTGTTTTTCAAGGTTTAGATTGTGGCATCACATATATGAACTACACAAACTTTCACATTCACTCCGTCTTGCCTACATTCAAAATACAGGCAAGCCAGCTAACTCCAGGAGATGCCACCATTGGCATTAACCGACGGCCTGCTTCATTCATGGAAGGTGGTTCAGTAGAAATCCCCTAGTTTTTGAAGAAGAAAGGGCGTTCGCGGTATCCAAGAGCTTAAGTGAGTTTCTCTCCTTCAATATAATCTAGATTTACCCCTTCGGTGACATTTTTGTGGTCAAATTACTTTTTCAACCTCACTTGATGAGCTTTCAGACTTTAATGTAATGCAGATATAACTGTAGCTTTACTCTATTATAATTGCCTTAGCATCACATGCAATCCTGCTCTACCTGACTCATTGCAGAATCTGTTTCTCTCAAGAACAAGCTTGCACTGTTGCAGGGTTTCACTAATGATGAGCTAAGCTCCGGCTGGAAAGCATTAATCCATCAGACAATTATCAAGCTAGTAGTAGAATAAGTAAGAGGGGATGCGACGAAAGGACAAAGTTTTATAGAGACAAATTTTCGAGCTTGTGGCGTGTGTACAGTGTACTTATTGTATTGGATGACACCCCATCCCTGAGGGTCGGCCCCCCAACACCGACAGGACAACACGATGGGAGGATGTAAATTGGATTTTAATCACAATTTGACAGATAGAGAGTGGGGTTCTGTCTCCGGTACTTGCAGAGATCCTATGCATTTTTAGCATAGTAACCTTTCATCGCAATAGTCGGGATTCGAATCCGGGATAACCCTTGTGGCACTACCTCGCTACTAGTTGAGCTACGCCCACCGGTACGGCTTTGACCTATAAAACGATATGAATCATATGATATGTCCCTTAGCTAATTATGGTAGACACGGAGAGATGGGCTAACAACCTACCACTGTGGCCTATATGAGCTACACTGCTACACTTTTCATTTGGGACAAGAGAAGGTCATACAGTTATTAATAAAAGTGAATTTGTGTGGTTGATATTGAATTGATAAAGTAAGAATAAAGTAAGAATCATTTGAACCACACAAATTTTACCAAATAAAGTATGAGACAATCTTAGTGGGACTAACCGAAAAGGTAAAATCAAACAATCATAGCGGGACGGAGGGAGTAATAACATCCGTCTAAAGAAATCTCAATTTCAATTGGCATACTTGTTAAAAATGCGGGACAAGAATAAAATAAAAATGTATGATTATGATAATGTAAGAAAAATATAAATGAGTGTTAGTCACAGAAATCACTCCATAAAAAGAAGTGTGATTTTTTTTGTGGCATCTCAAAATGGTCAGTGAGAAATTTTTTGTTTGTATGAAAATAGTACTAGTATCTTTTAATAGTTAAATGCATAATTTGTACTTATCTCAGATTTTACTATTTTTCTAATATTAATTGTAGTTTCTTAAAAATATACTCCGTATAAGTTTAACGTTTAAATTTTAAGAAGATGCTTTTTTAGGTTAATTCTCAAAGAGGGATCTGTATTCATCATTCAAATAGCCCAATACAAAGCTCTTAAGTTTTACTGGTGGAATACGCATATACGGAGTATATAACTAGAGAAGAAGAAGAAGGTTCAAATCCTCTACATTAAAATCAAGCCATCTGCCTCACAAGCTATAAATAGCAACAATAATGGGGAATGAATGCTACACTAAATGTTCTAAAAAAATAAATGTTAGTTAACCCTTCAAATGGTGAATTTGGGGTGTTTATAGTTCAAAGAAGGGTCTATCAGTATACCTCTTGTCTTGTATCCTTGGGTATTGGGCAACCGGTGGGTTAAGGAATTAACGTGAGGGTAGAATAGAACTATTGAGAAATTAGAGGAAAGAATAAGACTTGGGATACAATTGAAGTATAATATGCAAGCCCATGATTGTATGACATGTGTTCTTTGGATGTCTTGGGATTACACTGATGACTTCAAGTGTGCACTAGTCTCATGTAGGCATGATGTCAGTCCTGGGATCATATGTAGGCATGATGTCAGTCCTGGGATCATGATGTAACCATGCATGTGCATGTCTGGAATGACCGAGAAATGACTAAGTATTTATGGAAGTTGTTTTAATCGAGGCGGATCAAGTCTGCTCGACCTCAACTAAGGAAATAATGGTGGAGATTATCTCGCTTGGCGTCGGTGATTCATTTCGGCCATGATGGAATTGGCCCCCTGGTGCAACGTCGGGAACGAACTACAAACCCCGGCCTCGGCTGGGAGCTTCAGCCTTGGTGGTAGGGACTGTTGGGCTACCTCTCAAGACCGTCTTCTATGGGCTTCTGGGATATGTTAAGATATGTCATAATCTCTCCCTCTTGCTAAGGTCGTCCCATTTTTCCTATTCGGGAAATGTCATTAAGATTATTTTTACTTTATCAATTCAATATTAACCTAAACTCACTTTTCTTAATAACTGTGTCACTCCCTCTTATCCATAAGTTAGTTAGACGGGTGTAGTAATATATAGCCATAATATAATCAAGATTTTAGATTTTGAGATGGTGCGGTTATGGCTTTGTTCCATATTTGTGCAATCGGACACATTGAGCCCATATAAGCCACTTAGAACATACTAGTTAACCAGATCCTACGATAGGGTCGTCTAATCAACTTAGAGACCTCGGTTTCAATTGCGAAATTGAGGCCCCACATATGAATACAGGTAAAATCACATATAATTACAAACTCACATAGCTCAATAAAATTAATTGTGTTCAAGTGTTCATATAGAAAAAAACATGATTTGAAATAACTACACATTACTATAATATAATATAACTTTATTATAATACTAATACCACAAAAATTTGGGGCCCTCAATTTGGTGGACCCTTTTGCAGAGGACCTTTTGAACCTGTCAAAAAGCGGCCTTACCTTGGAACTTGGGAGGATGTCCTAGCCGTTAGCCACCCACCGCGACCAAGTTAGGGACCTAGGGTTGTTCTTTCCATCCGTCCAAGTTAGGGACCAAGATTACAAAGTTTTAAAGGACGGAGGTAGTATTAAAAAATGTTGGAGTTCTTTCTCCGTCACCGTTCTAATATGAATACGGAGTATTATTTATTGCATATGGCTCTTTAAACATGAATACAAGTCTCGTGAAACGTACTCGTAAAAGACACTAAGCTAGACTATTGGTTAGAGCATCTCCAATGCTAAAATGTGCATGATACACATGTGGCATTAGAGGTAACCATATAAAAATTAGCAAATGTATTATCTCTCTCCTTATTTGAATGATTTTATACAATTTCAGCAAGTTTTTCTCCACAATGTTGAGAAAATCATCTAGAAGTTAACATTGTGATTGACACTGTAGAGAAAAACTTACCAAAATTGTATAGAATCATTCAAATAAGGAGAGAGATAATACATTTGCTAATATTTATGTGGTTATCTTTCATGACACATATGTATCGTACACATTGTCGTATTGGCTCTTAGCAGACGTTTTCACTTTGGCATTTAAATAAATGAACCTTTTTATAGTGTCAATAAAATTTGAATGGTAAGACTAGGGGTGGGATCGGTCCAGTTTGGGTCGGGTTTTTGCTAAACCCGGAAATTACTCGGAAGGTCTCGGGTTATGAAAATTAGGGACCGGAACAAAGCCCATTATATTTGGTCCGAGTCGGGTTTTTGGTAGCCCGGGTTCGGTCCGGGTTCGGGTTGGACCAGTTAAAGCCCGGACGTGAAATATGTCATTGTTCTTTTATATTTTAACACTTATTTTCAAATAAAATTAATAAAAAATACAAACTGCAAGTAATAACACAAATATTAGTCTCCAAAATCACCAACAATTTAAATTTAAAGAAGATAATTATCTTAATATTTTATGTAAGATGTATATATTGATGATAAAAAAAATGTAAGATGTATATATATAAATAATATAGGTTTCTTAAAAATATTACGAAATAAATTTTATAAATAAAAAAGTTACTAGAGTTGCTATAAATATATTCTCATGGTTAGCATTACGCTAAACAAATTCAATATATTTGTAGTCACTAAAAGTTACTAAATCTTTTTTATCCACCGTGATTATAATCATATATTAGGAAATATTTTATTTATATTCATATACTATATTAATTTTATATTAAAACTAATTGTTTCGAGTTTTTTTTGCTCTGGGCCGGGTTATAGATTTTAAGGCCCGTTAATGGGCCCGGAATTTTCGGTTCGGTCCGGGCTTTTTTTTTTAATTCGGGCCGGTTAAAAAGAAAAAACTCCGGACCGAGATCATAATTCGGGTCGGTCTAGGGTCGGTTTCTGGGTTTCGGTTCGGTTTTTCCCACCCCTAGGTAAGACTATCCATTGTATACCATATTTGAGCTAACATCCCAATGCTTGAAATAACTACTTCGTTTGAACTACCTCGCACTTTCTAATTTTATACTACGTTTATATATATATATATAAAGGACTGCTCAGGTCCAGTCGGAGGGACGAGAGCAGCCGTCCGAACTTCACTGTTTGGGGCGGTTCCCGGTGGAATTTTTTGATGAAATTTTTTTAGCATGTTCCTCATCAAGTCTAGTTTGTCCATACCAAATTTCAGCTAAAAATGCGACCGGGAAGGCAGTCAAATAAATTCTTGAAACTTAGTGCACTTTATATATGCGCAGAATGTGCAGTAAGCTTCAAGAATTTATTTGAATGCCTTCCCGGTCGAATTTTGAGCTGAAATTTGGTATGGACAAACTAGAATTGATGAGGAACATGCTCAAAAATTTTCATTGAAAAATTCCACCGGGAACCGCCCCAAACAGTGAAGTTCGGACGGCTGCTCCCGTCCCTCCGGAGGGACCTGAGCATTTCTGTATATATATATATATATATATATATATATATATATATATATATATATATATATATATATATATATAGAGTAATGATCCGGTCAGGAGCTCCTGACCGGAACCGCCGTCCGGACCTAGGCGTTTGGCCGCCTTCCCGGTGGCTTTTTTTGATGAAATTTTTATGGCATGTTCTCCATCAAGTCTAGTTTATCCACAAAAAAATTCAGCCAAAAACTCAATCGGGAAGGTCGTCAAATGATTTTTGCAAGTTAACTGGTCTGGAAAATACATATTCCGGACCAGTTAACTTGCAAAAATCATTTGACGACCTTCCCGATTGAGTTTTTAGCTGAATTTTTTTGTGGATAAACTAGACTTGATGGAGAACATGCCATAAAAATTTCATCAAAATATTCCACCGGGAAGGCGGCCAAACGCCGCGGTCCGTACGGCGGTTCCTGTCCGGACGTCCGGACAGGAATATTTGTCTATATATATATATATATATAGAGTAATGATCCGGTCAGGAGCTCCTGACCGGAACCGCCGTCCGGACCTAGGCGTTTGGCCGCCTTCCCGGTGGCTTTTTTTGATGAAATTTTTATGGCATGTTCTCCATCAAGTCTAGTTTATCCACAAAAAAATTCAGCCAAAAACTCAATCGGGAAGGTCGTCAAATGATTTTTGCAAGTTAACTGGTCCGGAAAATACATATTCCGGACCAGTTAACTTGAAAAAATCATTTGACGACCTTCCCGATTGAGTTTTTAGCTGAATTTTTTTGTGGATAAACTAGACTTGATGGAGAACATGCCATAAAAATTTCATCAAAAAATTCCACCGGGAAGGCGTCCAAACGCCGCGGTCCGTACGGCGGTTCCTGTCCGGACGTCCGGACAGGAATATTTGTGATATATATATATATATATATATATATATATATATACACTGAAATATAATATCCCATTTCATGAGACCGTATGTATGTCCGTATTCATTAAAAACTCTTCCATATATCTGCTCAACTGTTTTTTAATTGAGTCAACGTCATATGAGGGGATGAGCATGAGGTCCATTTACATCATGTCGAAAGTGCTAATGACTCCACCATTTTCAATACACATTCATGATAAATCAAATCAATAGTTTGTGAAATACGAAGTATCTCACACAACGAAGTGTGTGATTTTAAAACTAAACGAAGTGTGTTGCACACAAAAACCACTTTATAAATGCCAAGTACTTAAGAATCCAACGAAGGAGGGCAGTGAGATAAGTACTTACAAGTTACAAATTAAAGGCCCCTTTTGTAAATAACATCTTCTCTAGCTATTAAGTTTTGCTTAATGAGGTGTGAGAGAAAGTAGGTTTACTAATGATTTGTTTTAGAGTGTGTTTCCGTTATGAAAAGTCTTTTGAAACTCTATAAACAGTCATTTTTCTATTAAACAATGTTGTTTCCCGTTTCGCTATGCAAGAATTAAAAAAGAAAGTGATCAACACACTGAGGAGTGGAACACTTAACCTGATTAGCTTCTCTAATTTCTACAGACACGGTTAATTCATACTATTCCAATATCATGGAGTATGAGTAGGTGTTATAGTTATTGAGGAAGTTGATTTATATAGTTAATATTGAATAAATAAAGTATAAATAAAATAAAAATAATTTAGAAATATACACATTTTATCAAATTTGGTACGATGAAATCTTAGTGAAATGGGCTTAAACGATGGCACCACCGAATTGAAGCAAGTGAAAGCCTTCGAATTGTAGCTTGTACTTGTACCTCAATTATATTATAAATCAGCCCCTACCAAATGTGGGGTTTAAAAATCACCCCATAATCTACACTTACATTTGTATTGGCTAAATGTCCCATCTTATGTATCTGCTTTAATTGTGATATGCAATCTTAGGCTGAGATAAACCACACATTTTAGTGATCAAGACATTCCAAAAGAAAAGGATACGTACATACCTTAGTTACCATACATCCCACATAGGAAACACTCAACCCCTTGGCCTCATTGGCTGTTAATTTGTTGTCACACTTACTGACATACACGGGGGATTGACATTGTGCGGTATGAATTCTACGTTTGATCTATTATATTCTACTCTCCAAACATAAAATTAAATGTCAAGATCCTTATTTGAAAGGGAGTTATCTCTGTAATTCAACTGTACTTAGAATTGATAAATCTTAATGTACTTATGTGTCTGAATGCTTCATCTGTCTTACAATACTTTACAAACTATCTTATTTAACTGTCCCAAAAAAAATTACAACTTCCATTAAAAGCAATTAACATGTGGGTAACATTTCTGCTCTAAATCCATTACACAATTTTTATTCTACTATTTTATGTTCAAGTCAACTTTGATACCGTTTTACAGGACATGAGCGGTATTATTCAAGTCTCAACTTATCTAATCTATTTGAGTTTGTCTGATGTATTTAAGTATTATCTAACTCAGTTTAAATTCATGTAAGACCATGTGATTTTTCTTTTTGAAACATATAAAAACTAAACTATTGATGATGATTGATGATTAGTACTACCTGAATTAGCTTTCACCTGCAGTTTTGCACGTGGATTAAGAAAACGAGAATTGTGTCATGAAGAGTTGTATAGAGAATAGATGAATATGTAAGAAATGTCATAAATCATAAATTCTTTTAACAGAAATGAATAGATAAAATTATGTTAAAACGCAGGAGAAGGGAAAGTTGGCATATGAAGTGCTACCAAACTCAAGTGGACATATGACCTTATTTGAGAGTGGGACCCACTAAAGCAAAGCGTGTCCACTCGTTAGAATTGTAAGAGTATATAAAATCTAAGCTAGCTTCATGCAACCTTCTCATACACACAATCATACCAACACCACAAATAAGAACTGAAACATATCCTCAACAGCCCAAACCCAAGCCTTAGTCTTACCATCTCCATGAAACAAAAACGTTTGACCACTGCCACTCGTTATGATCATCATCAAGAAGAACCCCCCAGCAAAGTTAGGGCAACTGCTTACCACTGGGGCAACAGTTATGACAGCCAATCCCATATGGAGGCTTCCCTCCTAAAGGGCACGGCGGCAGGAGGAGGAGGAGGGTGTGATGAGCTGGAGGAAGGCGGCCTCCTCCTACGGGAGCCGCCGCTCGCGGCGGAGGATACCGGAAGGGAGCGGCTGCAGAGGCATATTCATGAGGTGGCCGGGCACGTGTGGATCCCGGAGATGTGGGGCCAGGAGGAGTTTCTCAAGGATTGGATCGACTCTTGCACTTTTGACGCTTCCTGGGTGAATGCCAATATCATCTTAGCTCGTACGGCTTTGGCGGAGACGGCGCGGAGAACGCCGCCGCCGCCTCACCCCACTCCGGCCAGATTAAGAATAGACAGCACTTGCTTTCCTATTCCGTGATTATTATTACTACTACGTACTAGTACTACATATTGTCCCCAGCTCAAATAAACTTCAACCGTTTGAATTTAATTACGGTTTTTCCGATACATATTGTGTACAATATTCATTCTTTTTTATATGCAAAAAATAAACGTGTAATAAAGCAAAAGTTTAGTCAATACGGAGCATAAAACAATATAATTTGTGAAAATTTAATAAAAAGGCAACAACTTTATCCAAATGTCTAGTCATGAAATTTAACGTAATAAGCCCATAGATCTGATGTTTTTCTGCATATACTAGTATCAAATTTCAATAGCTTCCAGCAAACCCTTATGCTTTAGGATAAATGAACTTAGATATATTTAATATCGGGAGCAAATATTGGGTGAACGATTTAATAAAGGCCAGGTACACTTCATGAACGATGTGGGTTAACCTGGGTGATTATAGTAAAACGTCGTTTACATAAAAAATATTCTAGTTGACATACCAATATATTTATAAAAAGAACATAACTTTTTGAACACCTTAGGGCCTGTTCCGCATCAATGCCGTTTCACCGTTTCCGTTTTTTCTTTCAAAATAAAAAACAAAACTCGTTCGGTAGAAAAAGATTCCGCTTCCAAATATTAGAAAAGCAAGAACTGTTTTAAAGAACGAAATCGCTATTTGAGAAACGAGGAAAGATGGTTTCCAAAAATTAAAGCCCACTTTCTCATCTGTCTCTTATTCTTCTCCCACAATATTTCCCTCTACAATAAACTCCACTGAAGCTACGTATCTCAGTATCTGCCTCCATATTACCGGTTTTGTCTTTCTTCATTTTGTATAATAATCTTTGTACTTTTTCATAAGATGGAGTTTTGATACTGCGATGTTGAGTATTTGCTTCCACCGTCAAATACTCTTGAAGTGCCCATGCACCATGATTTTTGTGATATTTGTGAAGTACCAGAGTTTTTGGATGTGGTAATCAAGTTTTCTTTGGATGTGGCAATCAAGTTTAGATTCATGGCTTCGATTTTCAAAACAGTTTTTAGAAAAAGTGAAAATAAAAAACTGAGAACAGTTTTTTGTTTTCTAAAACCCAAAAACAATAAACTCACAATCAGAAAGTTATCAGCTTTCTGAATTATTGAAGGTTCTTGAGGATCTTAGTATCTTACTAATAAATTTACTCTTCACAAGCAGGGGTTGCATTATACATAGGGCTGTAGCCTGTAGGTAGTTTTAATAAGAACATTTCTGTGTTTACAACTCCAAAATAGGTAAATGTTTTTTTATTACTCTGTAGTTTGTAATATTCATTTTATTTCTTACTCCGTATAGGGAACATGGGTGGAGTTCTTATATTCCCGTCAAGGCGTCAAAATATATGGTTATTTATAAGAAAAAACAGGAAGCCATTTTTTCCTTGCAGATATGTCACCAAGGAAAGTAACTTATGCACGACCCTTTTCTATACTTGTACTGGTCGAGGTAGTACTTAGTAGAGTCAAAAATAAAGTATTTGGTATAAAACAAAAAATAGCGTCTGAGAAAAGTGGACAAAGTAAGCCAATACTTTAAAACCAATAAAGAGAGCCTCTGCGAACATAACATCTCTACATAAAGCATCAGGTTATAATGAAGTTACAATGGTAGGTTGTTATCATCCAGACTGAGGAACCAATTCCCATATTTTGATTGTCTCATCATCGCTTGCTGAAGCAAGTAGCCTTTTATCCTGTCAGGTTTGGACAAGCAAATGCACAGTTTAAAAGGTCTGCCACCATCCAACTCCAACTTACGACAAGCAAAATGTTTTCTAGTATGATGCAAGATTTTGCTATTCATCTGATGCAAATTGTTAAAATCACTGAAGGATTAAAAGTTTTTTTTTTTGTTTTAATCCTTTGCTAATGTAGTTGTAGAAATTCAAGTCCTTTGTGGTTAATCATTTGCAAATAAATCACCCCTGAGCCTACATCTGTAACTCCTAGTGGTAGTTATTCTCCTCAAATAACAGCCCCATGGACTAAAATAGCTAGAATTGATATACCAAAACTGTCACTAAATCTAGAACAAGGGAAAAGACTTGGGAGAGTTCACAGGGAAGAAAGACCAAAGTAATAGTTTACGCAAGAACTATTAAGTGCCCAGAATGATGCCTTCAACATTTTTTTTAGAGTGATGCCTTCAACATTTTTTTTAGAGTGATGCCTTCAACATTTTCAGAAATCAGAACTAGAGGCATATACAGAATGATGCCTTCAACATTTTCAGAAATCAGAACTAGAGGCAGATACAGAATGATGCCTTCAGAATGAGACCTAGAAGTTGAAAACTCAGCAATGATAGTGCAAGAGTTCAGCCTTCAGAATGTAATTCAATATTGGTAAGCAAACTCTCAGACACCCAAGTGTAAATTTTAATCCACGTATTTTGTAAATTTATTATGGCTGCTCACTTTATATTTGAAAATAACACATTTTTCCATGTTCAGCGCATTTTTATTATCTAGATTAGATTGCCCATTTAAATATATGGAATACTCATTTTGGTGTATTTTAATAGATCCTAATAACATTTTAATGTAATCAAATACTACCTCCGACTCACAACACTTTGGGAGCATTCTTTATTTGGTTGTCCCAAAAACTTTGATCATAATCATCATAATTAGTTCGTGATTCATAGTGTTTCTCTTTCCTCTGTCAAACATCAAGCACAGAGTTTATGGTTTCTTATTCACATGTGCCAATCAAACTTGTCAAAGTTTTAAGAGGAGGGGTAATGTGTTTTAGTATAAATTCACAATAGACATTTGATTGCATCTTGTGAAAATGCACCCTAATGCTTTTTCAAGAGTTGTAATATGATCCTTTGCTCGTAGTTTTTTCCATAATAACGACATACTTCAGAGGAATAAATATGTTATATGGGCATGGAGAGAACTGGCAGTCTATTGTTTATGGTACCAAACATTATTGACTTCCAAATCAAAATACTAACCCCAGTGTTCCATTGCACAGCATTTACATCCATCTCATGGGCCTTCTCCTTCTTTAAAAGTAAGCTGTATGCAGGTCCATCTACCTGTGATGAAGATAAAGTTGAAAACTGCCATTAATTCCCTTCCATAAAGGTCAGCCCAAAACGCTTGAAGTAGGGAGGTAAAGCTGAGTAGTCTACAAGTAAACAAAGCAAACATTAATTATGAGGAGCGAGGAGGGTTGTTGGATGACTTGAGCAATACCACTGTGCTGTTGTTCTCAACAAATAAGCGTATAGCATCATCAGCCGCTCCACTGGCAATTATTCCTTCACTGCAATATACATTGTTAACATTAACTTTAGAAATGCAAAAAGTCAAATAATAATACTTTCTCGCTGCAAAATAAGGTTCTTGCTCATTACTTTTGCGGCCAATTTAACTCCGCTTTAATCTTTTATTTTCAATACTAATTCCACTCCATTAACTTTTGGACATGGAGTTCAGCAAAATATTAAGAAAAGGGAAAAATAAGTGGCTGGTATTGAATTTGGTATGGGATCAGCATTTTGGGACAGTCTAAAAAAACATCTTGGGACAGTCTAAAAAAGAAAACGGGACTAACAATGAGAGTGTCAATTTTTATCATATTCGAACTCAACTGTTGCACTTCAAAAAACGTTTAGTGTAGCTTTTGAATATATAAAATTGAATTATGAATAGTAATTTAAATATTAATCGGGAAAATTTAACTTCACTGCCACTCAAACATCGTAAAGAGAAACCAAAACATGAACCTTAATATGGGATGGAGGTCATACTTGTATAGCTAATTGAAAGTAAATAGATAGCATAACAAACTAACGAGTTTGGTTTAACTTCTGAGCAAAATAGTCATGCTAAAAAACCAGACCACATCGCTCGACCCATATCCAAAACTGGACCGGTCAATGAAAGTACCGGAAATGGAGATAAACGGGAAAGCTCGGCTAACCTGGAGAATCCACTTGACCCTACCCCAGTCTCCCTCCTCCTCCCACAAAAGTAAAATAAAATAACATACACACACAAGGTACTCTGTAAATGATAAGGCATATAATCTTTTAGACCAGGGTCAAGAGAAAAAGGTAAAGTATATTTGTTAAATAGAACCACTGGTTGTGAGTGGAGAGTTAGAGGAAGAATTGATACCTTGACCAATGTACAGAAAAAACTGTTCTGTCATGATACCCAGTGAGAGTACTAATGTGCCTCCTGGGAAAATGAAAGCATGAAGATAATTGCAATAAGCATGCAAATCAAAAGTGAAAGCGATAAAACAGTTTACTAGCATACCAGTTGCTAATATACCTAATAAACACTGTGAATGCTTGTATAGTTGTATTGTTACTTGTCAATTTCTCAATAAAAATTATTCCTTCTTTTATATACTGAAAATAGATTTAATGAGACCAGAAACTTAGCATCTACAATCTGAAAACACGTAAATGTTGGAACATTTGTTTTAACTGATGTGAGTTGTGGCAGTTCTTTTCAACGACAAGCAAGTAAATCAATATATTCCAAAAAGAAGAAACTTTAAGGACAAGAAACTTGAGGAAAGTATGTTATACTCCGTAATATACGAGCACAGATTTAAGGACATACACAGAAAAATGAACCCTGTCATTCCACACTCACCAAGGTGTGTTTAAATCACCAGACATCAATTTTTCTACGTCTGCTGTCCATATCTTCAGGGAAAGGTCATCACTGTAAATTCAATTTAACAACACAATATTACCCCTTGAAAGTCCACCTACGCGTACTTCAAAACTAATTCTGTATCGAAATCAACTTATAGACATGGAATAATGATATAATGATAATAAGAACATTAAGAAAAATAATAACAACCATCAAAGAAAAGAGGTTTATGAAAGTATGACTGCATACCTACAGGTAACCATTCGATCTCCACTGGCATTAAAAGATAGAGCCCAAACTGTTGACTTATGACCGCTGTAATGAGAAAAGTTTGACTGAGCTTTTCAATAACTTATACAGCATTGCTGGTGATAGAAGTTTGAAATGGTGACTCAATACAAAATGTATAAACAAACCGCCATGCCAACTATAATATGCAAAAGAATTTCTTTTAAAACGAATAATTGAATCAATTCAACCTTTTTTAATAAATTATTATTTTTATATTAAATAGGGAGCAAGTTAAGCTATAACCTGTTAGATTCAGATAATGTTTGAATGCAATGCCAATCATCACTA